CCTGGCCCACTTTTCCTCCGTTTTTAGTAGTTCTCTGTCCCCCAGTTATGGTCTAGTTCATTCATTCTAGTAACTGCACTTTATTCTGTTGTATGCCTTTAATTGAGGATGGCAGGAATTGACCTGGTTTCCGTTGCTTATTTTAGAAGCCATTCTTTTAGCTTTTGTATTTCTTCTTGGATACACCTTGTTTTATTTCCAGTTGTTTTCATTTTATAACATGTTCCTTTTTATGGGAAATGTTATATAATGTCTCTCACTGCTTCCCAAATAACTTTCTTTAATGTTTTCTTAGATTTGTTAGGTTTATTACTTCGTTTTAAGATTAAGTTTATTGATTCCACAAGTCCATTTTGACTTTGACGGGCTTCTTGTATTTTTCTCTCTCCTTACTTCCCAGTCCCTCCCTGGTAGTTCTCTGCTTTTCCTCTAACCCACCCATCCAGAGCGTCAGCTTCAAGATCTCAGCTTCAGCCGGGTGATGCTTCTGCCCTAGAGAGAGTCTGGGGTTGTTGCAGTCGCAGCCCCTGAGCTGGGAGAGCTCAGCTGTGCTGCGAGGGAGGCTCAGCTGTGCTTTGTGCTGCCGTGTGGGCAGTCTCTAGGCCAGTGCTCGGCAGGCAGTCCCTTAGACTGCCCCTAAGAGCCATATTTGTATCTGTTATTTACTTCCCACTTAGCCACCCTTAAGCTCCGCACTACCTGTTCTGAAGCCCTGACAGCGCTGGTTTGCTTTTATAGTTTTCTTTCTTATGTGTTCTGTTGTTGTTACTTATTTAGACACTGGGTTTCCCAGACTGTTCTTAAATTCACAAACTCGCAAACCTCCTGCTTCAGCTTCCTGTTGGCTTGTTTTTGGTCCTCAGACATACTGTTAGAGGCTCTAAGTTTTCCTTTCCCCGTTTCCTATTTGCACTCTTGCTGCTTCCCTGTGGGAGCAGCGCAGTGGTGATGAAGTGGGCAGAACTGAGGCTTCCAGCAGATCTCTCTGAAGGTCTTCATCCATAATACACCCCGCTGACCTTCAGCACGGCTCAGTTCCTTTTCGCTGAGCTAGGCATTGCTCCCACTGGTAGTTCCTAACGTTGCTCCAGCTGTTCCCAACATTTCCCGTTAGGCACTCTTCCCTGAGAGTAGCACTGTTATTGTCCAGGAGGTGACCTGTGAAGACAATCTCCCTAAAGCAAATTTTAGCAATCAGGGAAGTCTATTCCCCCTATTATTATTATTTTTTTAAAAAAAATAAAGTTATTTAAGTAACAAAATACAACCAAAGAACACGGTAAGGCACAGATTATATAGTAGAGATCCCATCTCTGAAACCCTGTTTTATTAATAAAGTATTTTTCTTTGTTCTCAAAAGTCTTGCTACATCCAATAAGTAGTAAAGTCATTCACATACAAACGGTGTTTTCTATCAGAAGCCTTGTTTCTCGGATGATAGGGACGGGGTTCCAGGGAATACGATAGAAACCAATTTGTTCCTGAACAGAACAGATCAGCGGGCCTATGTTTAGGGTTCTATGATCTTGAATGACCCATCAGCTTTCCCGATTTCTCTCTGTCTGTGTGGAACTCATTATTAACTCAGGAGTGGCTGGGGGCTCTGAGGGGAAGCCTCAGTCCAGGTCTCAACACAGAAAAGACAGAGCTCCTTTTGCCCCAGGCCCTGAACATAAGACCGGTCACACAGCTGTCATGACACAGGATCACCTAGCTAGAGTTTGGGTTGGGTCCTTGGGACATAGAGTTAGTTAGATGGGCTGCACCGTTGGTTTGCTCACTGAAACTTGTATTATGGCGTTTTCCTACTTTGACGAAAAGAAGAAAGGAAAGGGTACCACTAGCTGAAAGGAATGTCTTATTCCATGTGTCTAATCTATATGTTAACTTTTGCTTACACAGACAGAGAGAATTTACTTTCAGGTTTACTTACCAAAGGGGAGCAAAGAGAAGAGCAAAGCCATGTTCTTCTGCCTCCGGTGGAGCATTGGGAAGGTGGTGGACTCTGCAGCCTCTCTAGCCAGTCTTAGAAACGAGAACAACAAGCTGGTGGCAAAGGTAACGTGCAGCCCCCACCCTTCCTCCCGGCGCTGGCCACAAGTGCGTGCCCACCACTGTGTGGTTTGTTCCTCTCTCGGCAGAAGCTGCGGCTGTGTCACGTCCCTTCGGGAGAGGCCTTGCCCTTGGATCATACTTTGGAAACCTGGATCACTAAGGAGGATTGCCCTTTATATAATGGAGGAAATGTCATTTTGGAGTATCTTAACGATGAAGAGCAGTTTTTAAAAAATGTTGACTCTTACTTGGAATAGTCACTCAAGGATTAGACCAGAATTTCCAAGCAGAAATCATTCTTTACAGTCAGGTTCTCTTATGACAGATACTTAAAAAAAAAAAAAAACAAAACTCTGAAAGTTGCTTTTTTATAATTTATTTCCATTATGTCATAATTTACATTAGTTGTTTTCTACTAAGTTCCAGGTTTGTGTTTTAAATTTAAACTATGTACTAGTAGTTATGGTGAAGTATTATTTTTGTAGCTGTTTTTCCATTCTTATGGCAGAGGAGGACGCAGGATTATTATGGCAGATTCTTCGGCACTCGTCGTCTTCCTTTTAAGGAAGCCCTGCGATTAAGCCTGTGACTAAGGGGCCAGGATACATAACCTTTTGTGTACGTAAATGATGATGTGTGGATTGGAATATGCACAGGAATTGTGGGATCTTAGCCTTTCTCTCACTCAGTCTTCCAAGGCTTTGGATAAGAAACCTCATATCTGAGAAGGGAAAGTTATTTTCTTGGTATCATGTAATTGCACTGAATATATTTCTGGTAATGAATTTTCTCCAATAGGATTCATGTTTTTGTTGGTATGATGTATGAGAATAGAGAAATGAGAAGAGCAATGAATAGACTGCTTTGTTACAATCTCTTTCATTGCACCAAAGCAAAATATACACCAGCAATTATTGCATTTTATCTATAAATTGAAATAAGTCCTTTTGGGGAAGGCTTTTTGTCTACACTTGAGAATGAATGTTTCTGTCTATAGTGTATGAAAGATTTCACTAAAGGAGGAAATAAAGTATTTTTAATTCCTCCCCTTCTGTGCCAGTTTTCATGACTTTAGGTTTAATTAAAAGGATAACCTCACATGCTCCTTTGGTATTCTTCAGGTCCATCTTTTTCATGTCCATGTGATAAAGTGTTAATTTCTGGCTTTTATCAGGTTCTGAATTCATTCCTTTACAGAGCTACTCGCATACCTACTTGATACATTAATACCTAATTGCCTTTTTAGGTACAGTGAAGATATGTAGACATACACTTAGAACTGTCACACAAAATTGTAAGGAAGTTGCAAATAAGTGCACAGACAGTATAGCCACGTCCCAAGAGCTGTTTAATGGGAAACTATCACACTGGTGATAGAAATAATGTTTAAAAATCCATATACCAAAAGTTGGTTTTGGTTCGTTTTGGTTTGGTTTGGTTTTTTGTTTGTTTGTTTGTTTTTGAGATCCCAAAAGGTTTTCCAACCAGTACTTATATTAATTGCAATTACTTGCACACAATAGGTGGTCAGCACATATAATTAAATGAAAACTAAATGCCAAAAAAAAAAAAATACCTTTTGAGACGAGGGCAAATGAGGGTGACAGGAATTGAAATCTAGGAAGGATGAAAAAAAAATGTCTTCTTTCCTTAATCAGACAAAAGGAACAAAGCTATCTATCCAGAGGGGCCGACAAAGTGGGTACAGTCTGTAAGCAAGGCCAGGTCCTAGGCGGTGGAGCCTGCAGCTCAGGAGGACGCCAGGGATAAACATCCTGGGTACTAAAAAGTGGCAGCTAAAGCACGCATAGTCTAGACAGGACAAGGTATGGATGAGAGTCCCAGTCCCCCTAACTCCCTGTGTCCAAATTACTCTGAAAGCAGAAAACCCAAGGCTGTGAGTAAGTTTGTCCCCATCCTCCCTGGTGTTTCCGTTGCTCACAGACAATTAAAATCGTCCTGGGAGATGCACAAAACATAGGAGAGGAGTACAGATGAACGGTTGAACTCAGTAGTCCCTGATAACAATGGGCATCAGCCTAAGGGACGGGGAATACATGAGAGAGCTGGGCAATAGGATTCTTCCGAGCTGCAGTGTTCAGGTGTTAGTCCCAAACTTTTCAGTATGTGGGTTCTGGGGTTCAAACTCAGGTGTTCACCCGGGCAGTAAGTGCTCTATTCACTGAACTGTCCCACTGGGCTCTTTACTCATTTTGACAAGTTTTTACTGTGTAGCCCAGCTGGCCTTAAGCTTGTGACTCCCTTGTTTCAGTCTTCTCAGTGGCAGGTGTTTCTGTCACTTTAAAGTTCCTTCAGAAACAGGTTGGCGGCTCATGCCTTAAATCCCAGCTCTCAGAAGGCAGAAGAAGATGGATCTGTGAGTTCAGGACCAGCCTGACCTACATAGTGAATTCCAGGACAGCCAGCGAGAGATTCATAGTGATACTCTATTTTTTTTAAAATATTTATTTATTTATTATGTATACAGTATTCTGTCTGTGTGTCTGCCTGCAGGCCAGAAGAGGGCACCAGACCTCATTACAGATGGTTGTGAGCCACCATGTGGTTGCTGGGAATTGAACTCAGGACCTTTGGAAGAGCAGGCAATGCTCTTAACCTCTGAGCCATCTCTCCAGCCCCGTGATACTCTATTCTTAAAAAAAAAAAAAAAAGTTTCCTTGGAAAATTACTACTGTCATTGAGCAGAGCTTAGTCCTAGTCCCTGTTCTTGCCACTGGTAAATATGTCTTTGGTTTTCTTAATGTCTTACATGGAGATAAATTAATGATGCTGAGCGACACCTGCATGCCTTTCTACAACACTCTGTCCAACGGAAAATGTCACGGTGACGCTCATTACTTTGTATTCTAACACAGAAGTAAAATATGCAATTGTAGTAGTGGGGAGTTTATTTGAATTTTTACTGCCTGGCATCCTCTCATTTGGGAAATGCACAGTAGAGTTTGTGGATTGCTTTTCCTTAGCCATAGAAGCAGAGGCGTGGCTTGGCTAGTTGATAGCTGCCATGGCCCTGCTGTGCATAGTAAGGCTAGAGCATTAGGATTGAGGTTGGTGCCTTTCCACTCTGTCCCAGTAACAACCGTTCCTTCGCCAGGCTGCCTTCTTATGTTCTCAAGTTCCTGGTGACCGTGGCAGACGTTTTCGAGCAACGGGTAGCAAGGGTCGTCTAAGGATTTGTTTTGCTGGATAGAATTGCTCTAGAACTGCAAAAAAACTATTAGCATCAAGGAAGTTCTCGAGGTTAACCCTTGCAGTCACTGATGGCAGCCACGTGACTGACGTCAAGAGAGCAAAGTTGTACTTTGGTCACTATGGCTTCAGTGTAGGGCCCCAGTGTAATTATAGGCATGAGTCAGGGTGCATAGTGCACCTGTTTCAACTTCCAGTTATTTGTGTCCCTGAACAAGGAATTGGACTAGGGATGGACACATGGAGGGTGGTCAGAAAAGAGACAGTTTATTTAAAAAGCATTTCCACAGGTGGAAGTGGGCCCGGGCTAGAGAAGGGCTAGGAGTTCAAGGACTCCTGTTCAGAGCAGACTGGCACATTTGTACCTCACGTGGTTTTCTTTTTGTGCAACTCTGTTGGAAGACAGCCTGGCAGGAAGGGACTTCTAGTCTTTCATAACTGGCTTCATATGTCAGTCTTCACTAATTCCCTCTTTGTCTACCCTTTGTCCCCTACAGCCTTCCGCCTTCCTCTCCCTCAACCCTGTCCGCTCCTTCTCTCTCCCCAATACTCTCTGGTCACACCAGCATGTAGGTAGATATGCGGTTTGCTTCTGACGGGATGGAATAGTGATAATGATCTCCAAGCACTGGTATACATTGTAGATACCTCCGCCCCCGGCTTCTTTTATTTCATTGTTTTCCTTAGGACAAAAGAAAATGAAAAAAAAAATGGTTCTAAGACTTTATCCTCAAGTAATAAGGAACTCAGGAAGAGAGATCCAGTGTGTGCTTGTGGTGGTGACACCTGTTAATGCAAGGGTTGGCTTCTCAGTTTCCTTAACCACAGAGAAACTGGCTGTGTCCCTCACTAGGTAGCTTTATATTCATTACAAGCACAACGGTCCCTCCTCCTGGACCTTGATCCACCAAACCACAGCTGTTACCTAACCCACATTTATGCTCTCTGCCACTGGGGACCTGCAAGAATGTCCTTCTATTTTTGAAAAAAAAGAAAAAAAAGAAAAAAACTTGAGTTGCCACGTGCGGTTTATCCAACTTTTCACAATGTTTGGAAAATCTTTTGTAATCCTACTTTTGTTGGTGACCTCAGGAGAAGCAAAGAAGTCATTTCTCAGTTTCCTGAATACACAAAATTCAGAAATACTGTCATTTGCAAAGACAAAGGAAACTGTCATCGTAAGGTCCAGTTACAAGGACAGACGGCCGAACTCCAGCTACCTTTCGGTGAAAGTAGAAGATGCAAAGGTGCTGCAGGTGGTGGACGTGACCAAGACCTCGCGGGACACCACAGACTTTACCATCAGCCTAATGGCTTTCCCAGGAGAGACGAACATGACCATTCAACTCTGGGATTCTGAAGGTAGGCACAAAAGACTCATTGAAGAGATAACAGATGTTAAAGTCAGAGTGCTCGGACAGACAGAAGACAGCCTCTTCCAGGCACCAGTGCATGTCAATCAATATATCTTGCTGCTTGTTTTATCGATGATCCTTTTAAATAAATGTGCCTTTGGCTGCAAGATTGAGTTCCAGGTACTTCAAACCGTATGGAAACGACCTCTGCCAATAGTTCTTGGGGCAGTGACACAGTTTTTTCTTATGCCATTCTGTGGCTTCCTTTTGTCTCAGATTTTGGGATTGCACGAAGCACAAGCTTTTGGATTTGTGATGACCTGCACATGCCCAGGAGGAGGTGGGGGCTATCTGTTTGCCCTCCTTCTGGAAGGAGATGTCACTTTGGCCATTTTGATGACTTGCACGTCGACATCCCTGGCCCTGATAATGATGCCTGTCAATTCTTACTTATATAGTAGGCTATTAGGGTTAGCAGGTATCTTTCATGTTCCTATTTTAAAGATTGTGTCTACACTCCTGTTCATTCTGACACCAGTATCAATTGGTGTGGTCATCAAGCACAGAACACCTGATAAAGCAGTCTGTTTAGAGAGAGTAGTTCAGCCTCTGAGTCTGACTTTGATGTTTGTAGGGATCTATTTGGCTTTCAGGATGGGACTGGTGTTTCTGAGAATGGCTACCGTAAACGTGCTTCTTTTGGGGCTTTTGGTTCCTGCACTGGGCTTTATGTTTGGCTATTTCTTTGCTAAAGTCTATATGCTGCCTCTTCCTGTTTGCAAAACGATTGCTATTGAAAGTGGGATGCTGAATAGTTTCTTAGCCCTGGCCATTATTCAGCTCTCCTTCCCGCAGCTCAAGGCACATGAAGCCTCTGTGGCTCCTTTTACAGTAGCCATGTGTTCTGGATGTGAAATGTTGCTGCTCTTTCTGATCTACAAGGCTAGGAAACTAGGAACCCTTAGCACAGAAGCTGAAAAAGCTCCCCTAGTCTAAAATTCGCAGCACTGCTAACCCTTGCCCTGGCCAAGAATCAAACTGTGCATAAATAATGCCTGCTCTAAAGTCGCCTTTCATCTGCTCAGAGGCTTGACGAGGAGGTGAGAGTATTTCCTCTAATACTTGTATGTTTTGTATATTTGTGTGTGTAATATGCTACACATGTATATGTATATAAATGTTATATATTGTATATGTTATATAGGATACACACACACACACACATGCTACCCATAATAAGCACCCAGTGACTGCTACAGTACATATTGAGAAGGGGGATTAAGATGCCCTTGCAGATTGTTAGTTTGGTAATGATTTTACAGTCTCTTAATGAGGAACAGCAATGGAAATAACCAGTGAATCTTGAATCTTGTGTATCCTAAGTTTTTAAGGAAAGACTGTCCTTACAATGGGTAGCAAATGCTTACCCAGGAAATGAACATGCAGATTTCTATCTGGCACTCCCCTGGCAGCCCCACTAGCTCATTTGGAAGCAGCCTGTCTTGAATAAACACAGCAAGGCTGTTTCCACAGCTGCATGTGTTTCTGACTTCTGTACTCCACCCCAAAGGCACGGGCACTTATCTGGAGAGCTTGTCTCCTCCTCATCCGTCTTTTTAAACAGTCAACCTCGCTACTGTGAAATGTTTCATTGATACCTGCAGCAGCCTCCTCCCATTCCCAGTGCTGCTTTCCAAACCTTCCAAATGAACTTTGACTTCTCACTGCTAACTCTAGTCAGCCATATTAATCTTAATGTTTAATTTGGATTACATAATTTCACTGCAAAGAAACCTGTTTGCTACATACATAAAGCCCCCTACTCCTGGGTTAGGCATTTATAACCCTCTGCTGTGAATTTAATACAGCGTTCTAGTTTGTTCGCTACAACTTCTTTACATAGAAGTCTTTGCCATTTTGTGGGTTTCTTTTGATTCAGATTGTGGCTCTGCCTAAGGCGCACACTTTTCTATTATACCGTTCTTTGCTTCTGTGCAAAGAAGAGGATGAGTGTCTCGCTGATACATTTTACGTAAGCCAGCCTGGCTGTTTTATAATAATTTCTGCTCTGCTTAATTTCCTTACTCAGATTTAAGCATGAGACATATTTTGATTTTTTTTCTCTCATACTGGTACAAGTTTTTAATATGCTTATTCAAACAAATTGTTAAAGCACAAGCTAGGACTCAAATGAAGACTATGCTTCAAAAAAATAATCAATTGATCTTTGGTCAGGGGTTTGCAGTTTGGTAAGAGTGCTTATCTGGCATATTTGAGGCTCTGGATTATAATTTATAACACTGCAAACACACACCTCTATATAAACTTCATGGGACAGATTTTTGCGTCATAAAAAATTTATGACTGCCCCGCTTTGCAGACGCCGCTGTCCCTTTTCACCGCTTGCTGCAGCCATGGTCAACCCCACCGTGTTCTTCGACATCGCGGCCGATGGCGAGCCCTTGGGCCGCGTCTCCTTCGAGCTATTTGCAGACAAAGTTCCAAAGACAGCAGAAAACTTTCGTGCTCTGAGCACTGGAGAGAAAGGATTTGGATATAAGGGTTCTTCCTTTCACAGGATTATTCCAGGATTCATGTGCCAGGGTGGTGACTTCACACGCCATAATGGCACTGGCGGCAGATCCATCTACGGAGAAAAATTTGAGGATGAGAACTTCATCCTGAAGCATACAGGTCCTGGCATCTTGTCCATGGCAAATGCTGGACCAAACACAAACGGTTCTCAGTTTTTTTATCTGCACCACCAAGACTGAGTGGCTGGATGGCAAACACGTGGTCTTTGGAAAGGTGAAAGAAGGCATGAACATTGTGGAAGCCATGGAGCGTTTTGGGTCCAGGAATGGCAAGACCAGCAAGAAGATCACCATTTCCAACTGTGGACAATTCTAATTCTTTTGACTTCTTACCCATCAGACCATTCCTTCTGTAGCTCAGGAGAGCACCCCAGCCCCATCTGCTCGCAGTACCCTATAATCTCTGCTCTCACTGAAGTTCTTTGGGTTCCATATTTTCCTCATTCCCCTTCAAGTCTAGCTGGATTGCAGAGTTAAGTTTATGATTATGAATAAAAACTAAGTAAGAAAAAAAAATTATGACTGAAATTTTTGATGCATTTTTTAGTACTTATGACCAGTCTGTATTCTTGTCCACAGACAATGTGGTCATTAACCCTAAAAAGAAATACCACTCTTAAGGATATGCCTTTCCCTATTTGCCTATTTTCTTGTAGTTGAAGAAAAAATAATTATCCCACAGTCCAGTTCTCTTATTTTAAAAAGGTGGAAATAATGATGTCAACTCCATTAGACTGTTGTGGGAATTACATTCAACCACACATTTACTGTGCTTCCTTAGTTATTATTACTGTCTTGTTTGATTTTAAACTGTTGACACTGACAGATACATACTGGTAGTTTGAAATAGCAATTGGATAGCTATGTTTGAAGCCTAAACCTTTAATTTTTTCATGCCTATAGTATTGTAGTAGTCAATGTTCTTGCCTACAGTACTGTAGCAGTAGGGAACTTCTGTTTTCTGTTGATATAAGACAGATAAATACGTTCTTTCTTACGCCACTACGTCCAGTGTATAAAGAACAGGGTTCATACAAGACCTGAGGGTGTGATGACGGATGGCTGTCCTGATCTTAAAAACAGTGATTGCCTCCCTGGGGTATTTGACTCCTTTAAACAGTAATGTCCATTCAGAGGCTCACAATATAAACATTATCTATAGAACACAAACTTAACTAGGCATCTCTTAGTGAATATAATCTGCTAATTGCAAGCTGGGAAACCTGCCTTTCTAGTTGTGGTTTATGATCAACCTTATGACACCTAGAGTGTGTCAGTTTTCAGATCTGTAAAACCCAAGATCAACAGAGACTTCACATTCTCTCTGTCTCTCTCTGTCTCTCTCTCTCTCTGTCTCTCTCTCTGTGTGTCTTTCTCTCTGTCTCTCTGTCTGTGTGTGTATTTAAAGTTTATCATCTCAGAGTTTTTCTCTCATCATGTATGGAGGTCTCTACAACATCAGAACCAACTTTCATACACTCAGTAGCAGGGTTTGTGCTTTGTGATGGCAGCTTGCAACATTGCCGAATCCGAATCCGAACATCAGACACTGATGTGTACTTCACGTTCAGAAATCACTTGGCACCGGAATGGACCACTTGTGCTGAAATCCCTGAGTTAGCTGACAGTAGTTCTGAAGAAGCAACTGAGGCCGCTATAGACAGACAGACAAACAGAACAGAACTGGAGCTCCTGCCCTTCTGCTGTAGGAAGCTAGCGATAGCTTTGATGTAGGCGAATCCTATATGTAGCCTCTCATTTATCTTCCTTCAAGATTGATTTTATCAGCTTTGCCAAGTCAGTGGGACAACTTCCCCTCATGAAAGGTTTAAAGATGCCACTTCTTCACATGCCTAGAGAATTCCATTTGCTCACATATCTATGCCTGTCAGCACACCTTTGATAAGATTTTATTTTATTGTAAAATTGTTGAAGACCTTAAAAAAAAAACAAGAGTATTTGATAGAGGTATCCAAATTAGTTTCTTTCATGGTTTTTATTTTTTGAGGCGGGTGGGGGGCACAGAGGACAGTGTTGTTTTTGTTTTTTGAGACATGGATTCTTTGTGCAATATTCCTGGATGGCCTGGAACTCGCTTTGTAGACCAGGCTGGCCTCAAACTCACTGAGATCTGCCTGCCTCTACCTCCCAAATGCTGAGATTAAAGGCATGAGCCTCCACCGCCCAGCTTCCAAACCAGTGCTCTTCAGAAGAGCAAGGACAAGTTTTGGCTCTTTGCAATAATTGTTTACAAGTTGGGTTTACCATTCCTGCCATTCATCGCTGAGACATGTTGCACATCATTAATTAATTTTTTGTCTTTTGGTTAAATCAAGATAAGCAATGAATTCAGAAGCAATTATGCAAGGACATTTGTAGTCCTCTTGTGGAAGGTCATATGTGTAGAGGTTTCCAATTAAGAGTAACATACCTGTCATCATGACCTACCATTTGCTATGAAGAAACATAATACGCTAGCCTCTGTGGCCATATGGAGCAAATTGGTCTTTGTATGTGGATTTTGGAGTCAGGGTGCTGTGTTCATGCTCTGTGAGTTTGGGACAAATCCTTTAGTTTCTCCAAGCTTCAGTTTCATTATTCTTCTTCATTATACAATGAAGAGAATTTTCCTGAAATTGTTGGAACACCTATGTTTAAGCATATAAGAACACAGCTGCTACCTGATGTGGTGGCACACGCTTGTAACCTGAAACTCCGGAAGTAAAGGCGTGAGATCAAGGACTTCAGGAGCCAACCTACGCTACCTAATGGGACACTGTTGAAAATTCCTGTCTGGGAAGGTAGCTCAATGAACTAATAAAGACGAAAGTGGAGATTTGCAAAATAAAAAAGGGGTTCTTAAAGAAGAAAGGGAATGCAGGAGAATGCTAGAATACACCAACTTCAACTAGACCAAGCCTGCCAAGGATGTCCAAGCTGGCAACTCCGGGCGGAGTCCAGACGTGAAGGCGGGGTTTCTAGACGTCCCGGCCCTGCCCGAAGGCTCTCGGGGCGGGACTTCCTGTTAGAGCAAGCCCGTTACCTCCGGAAGAGCCGAGCCCTCGACCCCAGCAGTTGCGCATCGCCGTGCGCTCACGCGAGGTAAGTCCCTTCTGTCCCAGCATCCTGCACCCGACTATTCGATAGCCGAGGCGCGGGCTCCGGCGAGCTGCAGGCGAGCTGCCCCCATGCTGGGCCTGGGCGGCGGCCGGGCCTTCCTCCCTGGTATGCTTTCCTTAGTACTCCGGAAACAGCCGAGCGGGTTCGCCAGGCCACCTTCCTTGATCGCTGAGGTTCTGGGTCGCAGAATAAGCCCGACTCTGCCGAAACCCGCAGGGACCTATCTGGCAAGTTCCCTGGGTCAGGGATGGACAGGCCCAGGTCCGGTGATTTCTTGCGTCTGGAGCGGTGACAGGGGAGTGGAGCGACTGTACAGGACGGAAACAGTTTTAAGTCTGTATGACTTTGTTCCCAAAGTGAAGGCTGATAGACTATGACCCCGAAAAACAGGTCCTGGGGCAAAGAGGTCTTTGAAATAAAAGGGCTTATTAAATATACTAGCTATACAAGACTTGGGGCACATTTTGTAAACTACCAGCAACAAGGCTAAAAAGTGCGTCTGAGATCTATAGTTGGCGGTATTTTTGGATTTCAGCGCACAGGCTTCTTAGTTCTCCATTAGTGCCCCAGTCCCACCCCCGAGAAAAGAACAAACCCCAAACAACTGTTACCTAATTGACTTCCTTTATTTCTCTTCTAGACCTCTGTCCATTTCAGGGCATCTCAGAAAATTTCATTTATCAGTCACATTTCCTCAAGAAATCTCTTCAGACTGGTTGAAAAGATAGCGCATGCATAGAGCTGACTAAATGCTGTGGAGCAACAGCAGTTTGGGAACAGATATCTGTTCGCTGACATCTGTTCCCAGGATGATCCTTTGAAGATATGATGGATGTCTTTTGAAATGGTGTTCTGTTAGTGTTGGCACGAGGTGACCTGTAAGAGGCTTGAGCAGTTCTCAAGCGGGGAAGCAGACCAGCCCAAGTGTCAGGGTGTGAGGAGACAAGAAGAGTGATAAGAACAAGAACGATAAAGTTTGCAAAGCGTTTTTGAGCTCTAAGCAGCTTATAACTCACAAAGGGTCTGTTACACAGTTACGCGAATACTTGTATCACAGGGAAAAGGCATTTAGTCATGATGGCATATGCCTGCAATCCCAGCCAACATTCTGGAAACTTGAAGCCCACCTTGTCTCAAGTAGAAAGGAAAAAAAAGCAACACCCGGTAGACACTCCGTGTCCCTGCGTTTCTCAGCCTGTGCAATGAGGCAGAGATTTCACATGCACCTAAAGAGGAACACGTGTCACTTGCTCTCAGTTGTGAAGCAGAATTAGTGTGGCTTTATAAAAAAGATCACCTTTTCTGAGTGTGACCGTTTCCATGCATCTATGTGCTGGGAACAGTTAGCCTGTGGTCAAGCCTGTGGTGTCACACGGTTATGCTTCCCCCTCTCTGAAGCCCAGGAGATAAATGGTGCTTTTGCTTCTATAATTATATTTTTAGACCTAGGTTCCCCCCACCCCCACCCTGAATGCTATAACAGAAAGCAAGGAACTTTCAAATCAGAATGGAGTATGCATTCTGTAAAGTCTGCCCATATAACACTGGCAAAGTGTTTCTGATCAGTGCACCTTAAGTTCTTCACTTTTACAACCTTATTTAAAAAAAAAAAAAATCCATGTGCAAAGCACTTCCTGAATGTAGTTAGCACAGACATCTTTTGCTCCTTTGTCTTCAAGACTACTTTTATTTCAGCCTTCCTGGGGCTCTTTATCTTGTTCCCCACCTAGTCATACACCTAACCTTTAGACTATTTCTTGACCGTATCTATTACCTAAGCTTCAATTGGATCCCCACCACCCCCCACAATATGACATGGTATGGCCACTCCCCAAAATTTGGTATTGTATGGACACTTTGGGAGACAACTTCCAGAACTCTTTTTTTTTTTTTTTTTGCTTTGGTAATTCTTATATTAACTTGGGTATAGTGGCATATGCCTGTAATTCTAGCACTTGGGAAGTAGAGGCAGGAGGATCGGGAGTTTGAGACTAGCCTAAACTATGAGACACTGTCCCAAAACAGTAAGAGTAACAAAAGGTTTCTACTATGAAGGTGAAATATGTGATAATTCAAAATGATTTTTACTAGGCCTATATTTTAGGGAAAGTATTGAACTGTAAACCAGGGAAGGTGAATCAGAAGTGAGTTTCTAGTTGAGATGCTTGTAAGTGAATACTTGCAGATTTGTAACTATTTGTGCTTTTCTGTGTTGAACTTGTTCAGAAGATGGCGGACCCCTGGCAGGAATGCATGGACTATGCGGTCACCCTCGCAAGACGAGCTGGAGAGGTATGGACTAGTTTCATTGCCAGAGTGGATGTGTGTAGGTATTACAGTACAACCTTGTTTGCTAAAGCATATTCTGATTCACATTTGCTGTTTTACACTTTAAATACAGTGTGTGTGCGTGTGTGTGCGCATGCATGCGTGTGTGTGTGTGTGTGTGTGCGCGAGCGTGCATCTGTGTATGTGTGTGTCACTAGGAATGGAACCTAGGACTGTGTGCGTGCTAGGCAAACACTGGCACTACATGACATCTCCAACTGGAATTTTCAGTTTGTATTGTTAAGCTTTTGTCGCGACAGTCCTGAATCTAAAATAGGATATGAAATTATGTAATATTTTACCTAGAAGGTCATAACTCTAAAATTACCTTATTTCATAGACATTTCCGAAAGAAAATTTTAAGAACATCATGTAAGACTGATTGAATGCTTGAAATTATTTTTGTAATCTACCTTTTGTTGGGTTTCAAATTGCTTACATCTTTTTTACTTGCTTACCAAAAACTTCTTTCTAGATGATTCGTGAAGCTCTACAAAATGAGGTGAATGTCATGATTAAAAGTTCTCCAGCTGACTTGGTAACAGTTACCGACCAGAATGTTGAAAAATTGCTTCTCTCTTCAATAAAGGAAAAGTACCCATCTCACAGGTATTTCTTGCACCAATTTAAAGTGATAAAATTAAGCCTAGTGGTAATCTGTGCACGGGGCTAGTATTGTGTCAGATTGCAGGTCGGTTTAAGCTTGACTGGGAGCTTGATTGAGGGACTGGGCAGGGAGAAGACACCTGGGGTGATGTCTGGGCCGTTGTTTTGGAGAGAGGCCGTTGTTGTGGTCTCAGGGACTCTAGCTGGGAAATAATCAGTGGTAGAGCACTCTTTGTGTGTGCCAGTCCATGTCTGATCCCCAGAACTTTAAGAATTTGAAAGTTTTGATGCTGTGGTTCTGTTACCTCCCTGTGGCGTCAGCCGTTGCCAGTCTCTTAGCCACTGAGAGTTGTGACTGAACACACTTCCTTAAATAAAACAGCTTAGAAGTGAGAGGGAAGGGAAGGAGGACAAACACTTATTAGGATAGTTCAAACAATAAACAATTCAAAACAGAGAACAGGAGAGAAGAAAGCCAGTGAAGTTAGACACCATTTATAAAATCAACTTACGGTTGTGTGGACAGTCATTTTGGCAGTTAGTTTATATTCTCATTAACTTAGTGGCTGTTCTCTCTGGGCTGCATGACCCTGACTGAGATCTCTGGGCGTTTCAGTCAGTGGTCCAGAGGTGCCACCACCACAGCTCCAGCAGGTCTGGAGAATCCCATGGCGTCTGTGGTTGCTGGCAGCTCCGGCACCCTGTGGGCTGTCTACTGTGTCTACTGGCAGCTTCCCCAGTTCTGTAGCTGGCCTTTTCTGAGACAGGGAAGGAGAGACAGTGTGAACAAGATGAAAGCTGCCAGGCCAGTACCGAGGCCAGCAATGGTCACTCCTGCTGTAGTCTAAGTTAGGCGGCAGCTTCACACTCAGAGAAAGTGCTCCGTGGGCTCTCCATCTTGGTAGGAACTAGAGAAGTTGTGCTTTTCTTCTTATTTATTTCAGTTTGTTTGATTTTAAGACAAAGTCTCACTCTTGCCCAGGCTGTCCAGGAGTTGATTATTCTTTCTCCTGTGCCTAGAGTGTTGGGATTCAGGCATCTGCAGCCCTGTGCTCTTACTTTTGAAATCACTGTATTTCCTTAATTTCTCATTTTAAGGATGACCTTTGCAGATGTGAGTGTGTTTCCCTGCATTTATGCCAGTATTGCGGTTAGGATTTCGGATTTTGTACTGTTTCACATGCCTTTGTTTTGGGGAAAGTAGAGCTTTGTTATGGGGTGTGTGTGTGTGTGTGTGTGTGTGTGTGTGTGTGTGTGTGTTATTTTTAGAAAGAAACTAGGCCAGGCAGTGGTGGCGCACATCTTTAATCCCAGCACTTAGGAGGCAGAGGCAGGTGGAACTCTGTAAATTTGAGGCCAGCCTGGTCAACAAAGCGAGTTCTAGGACAGGCTCCAAAGCTATGGAGAAACCCTGTCTCAACCCCCCTGCCCCCCCTAAAGAGCTACATTAGAGTAATAGTCTAGGCTTGGCTTGTGTTTAATGGTAGACCTTGTAGCTTAGGGAATGAAGGTTAAAGTCCTGAATCCAATGTAGAGGTTAGAAGTTTGTGTTTCTTGCTTTCAGTTTCATTGGGGAAGAATCTGTGGCCGCTGGGGAAAAGACAGTCTTCACAGACAAGCCCACGTGGATCATTGACCCTATTGACGGCACGACCAACTTTGTGCATAGGTACGCCTTTAACTTAATGTTGTTACTGCTGTGTTTTGGGGAGGGGGGACGATTCTCTGTCAAGGCAACACGGACTTTAGGAAATTGTATACTTTGTTTTGGAAACCGTACAGAAACCGTGGTGGAGGAGCCAAGTGTGCTGTGCAGTCTTTTCTGCAGTGTGTAGGAGTGAAGCAATGGCACTGTGTGGCCTTGGGTGATGGGCCTGGTCTCCACTCTTTGTTACTGTGACGATCTAAACGTGTGAGGAGTGCCACGGGCGCTTCAGATCAGTAAAGGAGCTGGTAACTGCACTGATGGGATGCTCGCAGTGTACAGAGTTTACTCGAAGAGAAAAGAGGGTGCTACAAGGGGTGGGCGTTAGGATCTGCAGACTGAGATTTGAATCCTCCAGCTTATTCACTGGCTTGTGACTGTCTTTCTTAGCCTCAGTTTAAAAACTACTTAAACCCAGGGAGGAGAGCTGGCTCAGTGGTTAAGAGCACTGACTGCTTTTCCAAAGGACCCAGGTTAGATTCCTAGCACACGCACATGGCCTCTCACAGCTATTTAGAACTTCAGTCTCATGGGATCCAATACCCTCTTCTGGTCTGCTCATACATTGCCCGGACATGATGCTTAAACACCCATAACCATACAATAAAAATAAGGGCTTAAAAATGCTTACAATCCAAATATTATAGTTTGCTATCTGTTGCTGTGATAAAACCACAATCAAAGAGACTTGGGGAGGAAAGGGCTTATTTTATCTTAGTCTTTCCAGTTTATCAGTGTGGGAAGCCAAGGCAGGCACTCAGGGCAGGAGCCAGATGCACAAACCATGGAGGAGTGCTTATTGGCTGGCTTCCCCGGCTAGTTGTACTGCCTCGTTTATAGCCCAGGCCCACATGCTCAGAGGTGGCATCACCCACAGTGGACTGGCCTTTTCTACATCAATTAGTAATTAAGAAAATGCCCTACGGACATTCCCAAAGGTCAGTTTGATGTAGACAGTTCCTCAATTGAGATTTCCTCTTCTCAGATGTCTAGGTGTGTAGTGAATTGACAAAAACTATAACACTGGGTATGATAATATAATCCAATTTGGGAGATGGAGACAGGAGGATCATGGGATTGAGGCCAGTGTGAACTATATATTGAATTTCAGGATAGCTTAAATTACATAGTGATAATTTTTTTTAAAAAAGACCTTATAAAATGGCCATATTAGTAACACCTGCTTCATAGAATTGCTTCGTGCTAGGATTCTTATTGTACACGTTCTTAAGAACTCAATATAGTGCGTGGCATGGTCCTGATAAGTTGTCTTTTACTGTGCGTGCGCGCACGTATGTGTGTACATGTTTACAGTTACTTAAGTCTGTAGAGCTATAAGGCATAGAACATGGGACAAGGCAGCACACTTTTAAGTATGGAAGCTGCGGAGGTACACTGAATAAAACAAAAGGCTGTGATGTGTTTTTATTACAATAAAAACTTCATGTTAAATAGTATGCTTATTTTCAGTTCAGTATTTAAGTTGATCTCAGTTATGTTTGAACCCATTTTTCCTAATTTTTTTAGAATTCCAATTCACTTGTGTGTGAGAATATAATATCTGTGTGCAAACCAGAAGCTGTAAACATCACTGTGGCTCACAGCTTGTTTTTCTAACATTCAGCTCCAAGCTTCATGTCAGGATAGGAACAAACAATTTTTTTTCTCCCCGTGTTTATTGCTAGTGGGGAAATGAGAGAGGAATGTTTTCTTTTTACCTGTGACCAGTACGAAATTTGTGTTTTGAAAATAAAGTCTGTACGTAGCTACTTTATTTACAGTATTTGACACTCAGGAGCCGTAGCGTGGTGTGCAGGACAATTTCTGCCCCACTCCTGTCTCCCTGCTATTGAGAATCCAGTGACATTGTTGCCAGGTCCTTGTGACCCTTTCAGTCATGTGAATGTCTGTAGAAGCATCATGTGTGTGTGTGCGTGTGTGTGTACGTGTGTGTGTGTATAGATTGTGCCTCTTTCTCCAACTATATGCATAACTTGTGACATATTCAATCTTCAGGGTTATGAGAATTAATTTGAAAACAATCTTATAAGTATTTGTTGAAATTAAATTCTGTCTTGGTTAGTTTGCAAATTTTTTTTTTTTTTAGGTTTCCTTTTGTAGCTGTTTCAATTGGCTTCGTTGTAAATAAACAGGTATGTTTTAAATGTATGTTCCATCAAATATCTTGCTTTCCTCTTCTGAGAAAAAAATAAATCTTTCTTGTTCTCTGTTTGTGCCACTGCATCACTGTAATATAAACCACAAGACTGGGCATCTTCACATGCATCTCCAGGGGATGAGGTTGTTTCCTGAGCAGACATAGTTGGAAAGAGAAATTGAACACAAGTAAAGGAAACACAAACCACCATCATACTTCTGACACATGCAGCTGTGATAGGGGTTAATGAGACTTAAAAATGTCTCAGACATGAGTGGGACATTTCTAGGCATGTCTTCATGATGCTAATGGAGGGAGACATTGAAAGAAGACCATATGTCAGGAGCCAGAGAATGGCTGGACATAGCAGGGTATGTTAGGAACACAGACATAATTGAATGCTTACATACCAAACCCAGTAGAGTGAAATCTGTTAGCTACTGTGGTTTCTTTGTTCCCTGCTGTTTGACTGCTGTCTTCAAGGAGCTTGTGTGCTGCATTTGATCAGGATGAACAAAAGTATATTTCAGAAATTTCTGAAATAAAAGCCCAAGGCTAAGTGGTAGGGCCTAGCTTATATAAACCTCTCAGTTGAATTCCTAGCAACATGCACACGCGACACACACACACACACACACACACACACACACACACACACACACTACAAATGAGCCCTTGGTTACAGACCGCATTGTTCCTGTAGCATGCCAAGTGGTCCTAGTTCAGCCTTTACCATGGACTCAGCCTGAGCAGAAATGTGGTCCCTGCTTTTGAGTCTGTCCTTTGTTGCAGTCAGGAGTGTGCTCAGCTGACGGTAGTGTGTAGAGGAAGGCAGAGAGAATACACCAGTACTGGCTATAGTGCAGTGGGCGGCTTCCTAGCAGAAGATGCCTTACAAGTTGGCTATGTTAGTTGCCACTTAGAAAATTCGAATTTTCCAGGAAGGAGGGAGAGAGGGAGGGAGGGAGGGAGGGAGGGAGGGAAGAGGGAGGGAGAGAGGGAGGGAGGGAGGAAAAGTCTTATCAGAAAGAACAGTTTGGCAAAGTTGATAGATTTTGGCCTCTTTAAAGAGGTTTCTGCAAGACAGTTAAAAACATAGACCCCTGTGATGGGATTTACTGGCGCCAACTTGATTGTTAGTAGCTGAGTCTGTGGACTTGGAAGTACCTGAGAATCTGAAGTGCGGAAGGGAAATGGAAGCGGTGCAAGATGGGTCGGAAGCCTGAGGGGTCAACTTCTAAGGGACACTTCAGGGGACGTGGAACTTTCCAGTTAAGTGTGGAAGAGCTTTGAGGATGGCTGCCCGTCTCCAGTTCTTTAGAGCAAAGCCTTTGGGGTCAGCAAAGGTTCATTACAGATGCAGGAGACTGGCTGGTCAGTGCAGACTGCAGGGCGTGAGCGGGACATGCGGAGTGCAAAATGGAGAAAGGGGCTGCTTTGGCAGAACTCGGGAGACTGGCTCACAGTGTGGGAGGCGGGCTTAAGGGAGTGTCTGGTGAAGCTATTCTCCCCAGGCTGTGTCTTTTGTGCTGCTGGGGAGGAAGAAGGCTGAATCCTTAGGTGGTGTGGCAGAAGGCAGTTGCCTCTCCAAGGCCAAACCCCCAGTACCATTGTGTTAGCAATTAAATTCAGCATGGAGGTGTAGGGGACAACAATTCAAATGAGCAATATGAACGGGAGATGGTTAGTGAGAAGATACCAGAAGAGAAGGAGGATCTGTGGATAGAGTTTGTCAGAATGGATGAGCAGGGATCCTGACGCAGGAGGACACAGTGTTCACTGTAGAAAATCCAGAAAGCTGCCTCCGTCTGAGGCTAGGAGAGAGGGCCAGTGTGCCCTCATTTGGTGTGGGAGGAGTGGGACTGAGCTCTGACGACCACTGTGTTCGGGCTGTTTGAATAGAGTTTGTTAGTGTTCTACATCTTCTTGTCACTTTATTCAGAAGCAGATACCAATTAATTGAAAAATTCTCAGGTTTGCTAAAAGAGGCTTGTTTCCCTCTGCAGATGGAGTTTGGAGTTGTGTATAGCTGTGTGGAAGATAAGATGTATACTGGCAGGAAGGGAAAAGGAGCCTTTTGTAACGGTCAGAAGCTTCGGGTCTCACAACAGGAAGGTAGGTGTGTCCTCCTGTGCCTGGTGCCCTGAGCGAAGTGTGCTTGCAGTTTACATGTTTGTGTGGTAACCTCTGCACTTAGCTGGTATTAGCTGACTCCTGTCTGTGTGGTAACCTATGGTAGCCTCTGCACTTAGCTGGTATTAGCTGACTCCTGTCTGTGTGGTAACCTATGGTAGCCTCTGCACTTAGCTGGTATTAGCAGACTCAGGACTGTATTATTTTTCCTTTCCACTTCTGACCTTGTTTTTAGTGTGAGAGTTGGGGCAGGAGAAGCAGATGGCATGGAGCAAGTGCCCTCAGTGTTCGGTGACATTGACAGAAATGTGTTCTCTACGTCAGGGTTTCTCTTCTAAGGGTTCAGGACATAGTGCTTCAGCCACAGTGTCTTATTCTTCCTAGAATTTCTGGATTTTACTGGATGCCACTCAGCCCATTATTGGTCAATAAATCATAAATAATGCATGTTAAAGCTGAGATCAGTTGGGCATGTGTAGTAAGGAGGGGGCCTGCTTTTTTGTCCCAGCCACCCGGCTAGCTTAGCCCCTAAATAACCATACAGAAATTGTATTTATTAAAACACTGCTTGGCCCATTAGCTCTAGTTTTTTATTAGCTAATTTTTACATCTTAATTTAACCCATTTCTATTAATCTGTATATCGCCACATGGCAGTGGCTTACATCCATCTCAGGCGGAGGATCCATGGCTTCTCCCTTCCGACTCTGCCTTTCTTCCTCCCAACATTCAGTTCTTCCTTCCCCGCCTTCCTAAGTTCTGCCCTGTCAGCTAGGCTAAGGCAGTTTCTTTATTCATTAACCAACACACAGACAGAAGTACCTCCTGCACCATTTCCCCTTTTCTGTTTAGACAAAAATGAAGGCTTTAACATAGTAAAATTTCATACAACAAAACAGTTATCAAGCAAGAATTACAGTTATAATACTTATATTTACTTTATCTTTTATCATAATTAAGGAGAACTATAACTATAAATATTTTAATTCTATCAAAGACTCAAGAAGGATATAATATTACCTAAGTAAGCAAGAAGTGCATTGTAAGCAATTTCCAAAAATCTAGAATTGACAGAGATATTTCGCTGCCTGGACAGTCACTCAAAGTTCTTTTGTGCTGTTGGGGCATCCATCTTAAGCCTTTAGGCCCATAGAATCCAGCAAACTTTTCCATGAAGCAGAAAATTTCAGACAGTTCAGTCACTTTCTTCTGTATCCTGTGGAATGTCTAGCAGAGTCTTTCATGAAACAGGAACCCCGAAAGACCATCTCACCTTTAGACAAGTTCAGCAGTTCTCTCTCTGCGGGTTCTCTGTGTCCAGTTTTTACAACAGTCCAGGCAAGAGCAGTTTCTTGCCCAAATGACTAACCAACTCCATAAGGAGCCTCTTCGATGCCCATCTTCCTCTTGAAGTAGATTGGTGCTGCCAGGAGCAGACGTTGCCTCATTGTCATGAAAAGTCTTAAGTTTTTAAAAATTTTAAATGTTATATTCTGAAGGTCTTTGAAAAAAATTGAAGAATCCGTATGTATTTGAAATACTTTTCTGTACATCTAGAAAATCTAACTAACATGACCTCAACTTGACTATTATAGATGATTATCTATTAACCTGTATTTCTTAATTATATATTACATTTTTAAAATGAACTACACAATCACAATACCTTAATCAAGATCAGAAATACATATACATATAACAAAATTGACCTCAAATTTGTATCAATAAACCAAGATTTAGATCAGTTGGTCATGGGGAATATTCCTGGAATCCCAGCACTCAGGAGGCAGAGGCAGAAGGATCAGGAGTTTGAGGCTAGCCTAGGCAAAGCAGGTTCTAGAGCAACCTATGCTTTGTAGCAAAACTTTTTGTCAGAGAAAAAACATTATGTACCTTTTCCCAGCAGCAACAACAACAAAAAATCACCTGAGATTCCTTAAGAATGATACACAGTAGTTTCTCAGTCTGTGTGAGGGCCAAGTTCCTCATATAAAATAATGTATTTGCGTATAACCTGTCCACACACCCTTGTTTTCTTTGTCTCTAGGTTAGTTATGGCTAATACACTGTTGACGCTGTATAAGTGGTTGTTAGTCTATGGCCTCTGGAGATAATGTGGGAGAAGTTTCCATATTCAGTAGTACAGGGTTTCTTTTTGGGAGTGGGGGGCGTTGCCATCTGAGAGGGATTAAGTGTGTGTGAGTGTGGACCCTGTCTGTACAAAGATAAGTGTGTGTGTTTGTGTGTGTGTACATACATACACACTCACTGAGTAGAACTATTTCAGTGTGACAGGTGGCTGGCATTGTATGTCACCTTTCTTCCATAATGTCGGTCCTGCATCTCCAGCCTGCACCTTTGGTAGCCTTGCACTTTAGCAAGTGCTTTAAGCTTGCGAACAGTCTGGATTTTGGAATCTTTGCGGACTCTCTTAAACTAACCAACCAATCTTCCTTCCTTTCTATCCTTTCTTCCTCCCTTCCTGCCTCCCTCCCTCCCTCCCTTTGGTTTTGTTTTATTTTGAAGCAAGGTCTCACTGTAGCTCCTGCCTGGAACAGGCTGTCTAAGCCAGTTTGACCTTGAACTGAGAGATCCACCAGCCTCTGTCTCCTGAGCACTTGGGTTAAAAGATGCACACCACTCTGCCCAGCCATAACCTTTCTCTTAAACACTTAGGTTGAGGGCATGTTTTTTATTCATTTCCTTTTTTGTTGTTTATTTTTATTTTTTAATTACAGGGTTGTATTGAGCACCATACTTAATTTATATGTGTTTTAATACTTTAAAGCTTGAAAAAAAGTTTGATGAAACTAGGAAAAACGATTTAAATATCCCATTTTATTCTGAATTGTGCTAGATTTGTTCTAGAGTTTTGGTTATTGACATCCAATGGTTTATTTGAAATAACTTTCCTTTTCAGATATTACCAAAGCACTCTTGGTGACTGAATTGGGCTCATCCAGAAAGCCAGAGACGTTACGGATCGTTCTTTCCAACATGGAAAAGCTCTGCTCCCTTCCCATCCACGGGTAAGCCTTCTCATTCCCATCACACTGCCAGATTGCTGCACTTTTAAAAGGATTCGCTTTTATTATTTCTCTCTCTCTCTCTCTCTCTCTCTCTTTCTCTGCGTGCGTGCGTGTGCGTGCGTGCGTGCGTGCGTGCATGTGTGTGTGTGCTGGCGTGTGCGCACGCACAAGTGCCCTCCATGTGTTGTCTGTGTCCATTGTGCTTGTGTGGAAGCTAGAATTGACCTTGAATATCTTCCGCATGGTTTTATATGAATTTTGTTTGTTTTGTTTCTGATGTTTCCCACATAGTTTTGTTGTGTACCTTGGGCAGGCCTTGAGTTCACGGTTCTGCTGCCTCGGCCTCCCCAGTGCCTCAGTCTCCCCAGTGCTGGGCTTAGAGGTGTTGCCACGATGCCAAACCTTGTCTCTCTATTTTTGTGTCCCCATTTTAAGCCTATCCCTTGTACAAAACATAGAATAGAGTTTAATTTATAAGTTAATGTGTAAATGTTTTTAATAAACAAAGCTATTAATGCGTTGATACTGCTCTTCCACTTCCATCCTGTTTTGTGTTGTGATAGCTATCTATAGTATGTGTCGTCACTATGCTTATTTTATGAATTATTTGCTTTGTTTTAAAAGTTTTGTATTTATAAATGTTTACATTTTTAGCAAATTTCTTTTGTATTAAATTTGTCTATTGTTATATTTGCTTGGTTTTGTGTTTGAGATAGGATGTCGCTGTGTAGCACGGGCTGGCCTCGCCTCTTGAACGCTAGGGTCACACGGTTCACACTCACAGTAACACTGCTCTCCCACATCAGAGTCACTCAGCCGTGACAGGTTATGGAAGTGAAGAAGCCGGAAGTGATGGCGAATGTTGATGCCAGGAGGATGAGGCAGGAGGATGGCTCCATCCCAGAAGTTAGGGTTTAGCCTGGAAAACGTACTGAGAACCTAGCTCAGAATTTATTTTTTTTTCTTTGCTTTGAAGCAAGTACTTATCTTAGAGGTTTTAGGAAAAACTAGTGATTTGATGTTCTTAGATCTAATAAAGGTGTTGATTATGTAAGCTGTTTTCTCTGACCTTTGTTGTAGTTGTCTCAGTAAAAATTATCATTTAAAAAGCCACGGTCACAAGACATGGTCGAGCGTACCTGTAACCTTGGCCTCTAGGAAGCTGAGACAGGAGGACTGTAGAGAAGCGTTCAAAGGCAGCCTGAACCACACAAGAAGAGACTGCCAAATGAACGGAGCTATTGAGAAGCCGAAGCCGGGTTCTGTAAAACTAGTCTGTCATCCCCAGGCAGTGCGCAAGCGAGGCAAGCAGACTGGGTTACATAGTGAGAACTCATTCAAACAATAGAAACAGGCATTTGAATAACAAGAGAATTTTAGGATTCTCTCTTACTGCCAATTGTCACCACTTTTTCTCCTGAAAGCATCCTCAGGGATAGACTCTAAGAATTCACCAAGGGTCATCTAGTAACCTAGCCTTGTTTGTAGCTGAGTTCAGAGGTTCAGACACGTGAAGATCACACAGCTAGGTGGAGATATGACATAGCCCTGACTTCCACATCATCTCTTCTTCAGTATTTACCTTGTCTTTTAGGAGTAAGATGTTCCAAGTACATGTTGACCATGCTGCAGACTGTGATTTGGGGCAGTAAATCTGTGGTCTGTGTAGTAAGGAGTAAGGTAACTGAGAGGCTGTTGTCCTTGAAGCACTGACAGGTGCTGCTGACAGTTGCTGCTCCGCTGCCTGTTTTAGAGTAGCTCGTTAACCGTGGCCGGTGAGCGGCTGTAAAGCAGCTTCAAGTGGTTTATACGTCAGGTTTTTTTTGCTATTGCCTGATGTAGATTTTTTTTTTTTTGTATGAACCAGGAAAATGTTAGCAAGGATGAGTGCTGTTATCCTACTCCTTCCTATTGCTCTGCTGTGTTCAGCTGCTGCTTTAAGTTCTCAGTGTCATTTCAGAATTAATGCAGATGTGTCCAGCATTTTGAGATTGTGACATAAGATTGTCATCTTCAGGGTTCATACATGAGAAATGCAGTCAGGTTACAAAAAATAATCATTTACATGTTTGGTACAAGTCTACAGTTTTGTGTAAATTCAGATTGAACTGGCCCAGTAAAGAGCAGTTTTATAATAAACATGTAGCTTTTACTAATAGACCCTTAGTAACCATTGCATTTGTAGTCTGAGATAAGTCGCCCCCACGTGAATTACTAAAATGTGGAAATTTGGAGAAACTGTGAAGCGGGTGAGCACGAGAGCAGATCGGATCTTTGGTGCTGCGCATGCTCTCTTCCGTCTTAGGCGCACGGATCCGTCTCAGAGCGTACAGTGCAGAGCTGGGTCCTGCGGTCACTGCTAGCTGAGTAATGTCCTAGGTGGTCCTTAGGGCTTCTTCCTAGAAGAACAAGCTCCTGGTGCCTGCCGAGCCCCCGCCTGAGAGCCCTTGATGCCCTGGTGGGGGTGACTGTCACCCTGGGCCTAGGCCCCCCCGAGTGCTCTCCAGCACAGACACTTACCGAGAGCAGTCCTGGTCATTCCTCCCAGAACGTGAGCTCTCACGGTCCCGTCCTTGTCTCACGTAAGAGGGAGGGAAGAGCCCTTGCTGGGCTTTGTTTCAGGCGGTTTCCTCTCGAGCAGTCATACTGTGCAGCCCAGCATGGTATCAGCCTCACAGTGCTTCTACCTGGGCCTCCTGAATTCCAGGATTCCAAGCATCACCTTGTGCTCAGCTCACCTTTCTTCATGAGCTAAAACTTGTCGCTTGGGATTGGATTGACCCATCTTGCTAAGTTGTAAAACACACTCCAAGTCAGAGGTGTTCTGTTCAAGGGGGAGGTGACAGAGAAGCTGCCTACATGACTGCCCATTGTGTGGTTAAGGTTTGATTGTGCGTTTGAGAGAAGGAAGAACTAAGGGCACCTGGAGGAGTCCAGAGCAGAGAGAAGAAGTAGGCTGAACATGGCCAGGGCTGGGAAGCAGGAGCCAATAGTGGAGATCGTGAGAGAACAGGAGGGCACCCGGGGATAGAGAGCGCAGTGAGACTCGTGATGAGGGGGGCACATAGTCAGGGGGGGAAGGGCCGAGGGATCGGCGTGGGGGCTTTGAAATGTGTAACATGTACTTGTGAGTGGGGACTGGGGGAGCCTGGAAACTAGCATGGCCTTTGGCACGTAGCCACAGGTGGATACTGACTCCTTTTGGCAGATGGGAACTGGTTTTACAGGTTCCTGAGGGTTGTTGGCTTATGTCTAACTGCCAGCGTCCTATGGTCCAGGTAGAGCTGGGCCTAGGCTCAATTTTGGATGAGTCAGTGGGTTTGTTCTTTTTGGGGGTGGGGAGGCAGGGAGTGGAGTACCCTTTGGACCAGACAGGTATCATGCCATTCCTGTCCTTTTTTAAATTTGGCTTTGTGAAAGATACTAGGTTTTGGGTTTTTTTTTTCTTTTTGATACAGAAAAAAAAAAAATTACCCACACAATTCATCAATTCTCCAGTACTTTTGAAAAAATATAAACTTTGAGAGAATGAATCTCTGCCTATCTGCCTATTTCCAGAGGTTGAAATATTAGTTACAATAGGAATTTGAAGTAGATATGGTGGTACCCACCTGTAACCTCAGCATTCAGGAGGCTGAAGCACAAAGAAAAAGGTGGCAAGTTCCACACAGTCTGGAGCAGTTAGTGAGGTCCTGAGTCAACAACAACAGCAACAACAACAGCTCCCCGCCCCCCGAAAAATCAAAACAAATAAGAGATGAAAAAGGAAATTTGAGTAAAATTAAGGTAACTTATGGACATTATGTTTCCCTGCTCCCTGGCTCCTTTCTGTCGTGGTTGTGGCTGTGTTTGTTTCTGAGACAGTGTCCTCTTCTGCTGAGGCTGGCCTCAGCCTCCTCCGCCCCACTCTAGAGCAGCGGCCCTCAGCTTCCGGTGCTGCCACCCTCACAGGCTGTGACCTGCTGCTCTACCATGTTTATTTCTTAGTAGAAGATCCAGTGACAACAACATCAGACCCGAGTGCTTCTGTTTCTCCCTGTGCTTCAGTTCAACCATGAAGGTCACAACCATGAAGGCTTTTAGGAGTCAGTTCCCCCTCAGGTCGTCAGACTTGGTGACAACACTTGACTCAGTGAGCCATCTTTCCCACTGAGCCATCCTGGCAGCCCTCTTTGGTTTTGAGGGTAGTTCTTACACATTGCAGCACCAGCTGGCTTTGAACTTAATATGCAAAGACTTGACCACCAATTTTAGCATGTATACATGATTTCTCTTGGCTTGGCCTCCCGAGTGCTGAGATTAAGGTGTGTGTCAGTATACACAGCCTAATTCTTGTTGCTCATCCATTTTTTTGGAAGTCGTTTCATAGTCTTCCATTTTGTTATGATCTTGACATTTTTGAGCATTTTTAAGCTCCTATTAATTGTAGAAAGCAATGATATTTTTGAAAAGTAAAGACCAAATAAATGTTCATGCAGAGCTCAGCTGGCCTGTTGCGGGTTCGGGCACAACCGTGAGGCCTTCCCAGTTGGCAGTGAACAGTGGCATGGTGTCTCACACGGCCTGGAGATGGTTTGCACTGTGTTGTCTATGTAGAATACATGGTGCTGGGATCCAGACAGGACGACACAAGTGTCACTGTTCTTCAGCCTCTCTCAGGTAGTGTGATTGCAGGTGTGTACTGTCATGCCTGGCTCTCTCTGGTATTTTGTCTCCCCTTAAAGACTTTGTTATTAAGTTTGTTTGTCTTATTAAATGGTAGCTTTGTGATAAATTCCCGACTTACACAGTACATCGTGATTAGATTATTTTAAGAGATTTTATTTATGTGTATGCATGTTTGCTTGTATATATGTGTGTACAGCACATACGTGCAGTGACTGCAGAAGCTAGAAGAGGACATTAGATCCCTCTAGAACTGGAGTTCCCGGTGGTTGTGAGCCACCATGTGAGTGCGGGAACTGAACTCAGGTCCATGCAAGAGCAGCAAGGATATTTAAATTTTATATACTTCATTTTTAAGTATATAGAGAACATTTTACAGAGAGAAAGTTTAAAGTATACAGAGAGCACTTCTTTCCACAGCTATTCTGGAGACTGAGGCAACAATCACAGTTGGCATTGAAAGTGACCTTAGACAGGAATACCTTTTCTAAGAGGGTTTTCCCCACCAATCTTTATTTTTCACGTTAGAATCCGGAGTGTTGGAACAGCTGCTGTTAATATGTGCCTTGTGGCAACTGGAGGAGCAGATGCATACTATGAAATGGGGATCCACTGCTGGGACATGGCAGGAGCTGGCGTCATCGTCACCGAGGCAGGTGGAGTGCTGATGGATGTGACAGGTGAAGTCATGGCACCCCAAAGTGTGTCCTTCACATCTGTTAGTCTTCCCCTTCTGTGTGGGCTCTGAAAAATGGTTGATACATGTCCTGATAGAAAAATGGGCTGTACAATTTTCTATAAAATCAGACAGTAGGAGATAGAGGCAAAGATAAGCTAGTGGTAATACATACTGCAAACTGATTGTGACTCTTGAATACCAGGAGCTCCTGAGAGGCTTTGGGAAGGTCTACTTTTTCCTGAAGCTTGTACCATGAGCTTTGAACAGGCCGTAGTGAGAGTGCACAGTGGGCTTTGTCCACCACGTCTCTTGCTGTGGCCTATGTCAGTTAAATATTAACTTTGAGCAGAAGGAGAAATTGGAGAGAATAACCCTGGGTTCCAGAGTTTACTGAGGAGATGTCACAAGATGAAGCAGAAAATGGGAAGAGAGCGATGTGCAAGAGCACTGGAGTGAGAGAGTGTGTGTGTGCGGACGCTCGGGCGGTGCAGAGAGAGAGAGTGTGTGTGTGCGGAAGCTCAGGCGGTGCAGAAGTGCAAGAACACTGGAGTGAGAGTGTGTGTGTGCGGACGCTCAGGCGGTGCAGAAGTGCAAGAGTGCCCACAAGAAGCCGAAAGGGAGGATGGCGTTCCAGCTTGAAATCCCTCATGTTAGTACTTACTCAGAAAAGATGCCTAGAAACTTCCATTATGTCAAGACTGAAACGCTATCATTGAGTGATAGATTCTTTTTTCTGTTTGAAAAGAAAAGTAAGCATATTAAAATGTTAGCATGGCCATAAGATACAACTGTGTACTTGCTTTTCTCCTAATTGGTTTTGTACAGGGTATAACTTTTCCATGTTTGATTTGCTTTCAGGTGGACCATTTGATTTGATGTCTCGGAGAATTATTGCTGCAAATAATAAAGCATTAGCCGAAAGAATAGCCAAAGAAATTGAGATAATACCTTTACAAAGAGATGATGAAAGCTAGTTGGCACAGGACAGTGTCCAGCCCCTTCACACCTGCTGACCCTGGGATGTTTGTGATGTATGATGTCACTGTGTTTGTGATGTATGATGTCACTGATTTAAATTTGTCTTTGAGGTCCTGATTTTAAAATGGGAACATTTCAGATGGCATACACAAAATTAGATGGAATATTTGATTGTTGAAAGAAATTTGCATGGGGAAAGTATCCAGGAAGTCTAGTTAACAAACTTGCCGTGGAATAATCACCAGTCCTCATAATCCCCTTAAATTTTAGTATGCTATTTATATGCACAATTCTCAATTGTAAAGTTTTCGTTTTGTAAAAGTCTTTCTCTTTCTTCCAAAAGCCTTCTTTAGTTGTGTGTGTGACTCTAAGCAGGCTCCTTTTGTTGTATTATTCTCTGTAATCTGGCACTGGTGCAGTACCTGTCAGTGGGCCATCTAAAGTCCGCAGCTAACGCGAGTGCCTGGAGCTGCAGTTCCTGTTCTGAAGTTAGTTCACTTCCCTGTCCTTCTAATATTCCCTATTGCCATTTCACAGGACTGCCAGAGACGGTTGCTTATTGTGGGCATTTCTGCAGTTAGTACAGTACTGTATGTTGCAGGTTCTGTCTACAGCCCCCATGCCGAGAAATTTCACAGCAATCTTTCAGGTATCTGCTGTAGTTAGTTACAGTGTAACATTTTACAAAATGCAGTATTCACATTCAGATACTTCAACTGATTGTGGCTGTGCTTACGATGTACTGTGGCATTAATGGTGAACTATTTGATTTCTTTCCAAACTCCTTGCTTAATTTCATCACTGCTGTCTTTATAGTCTATAAGGATCTTGGGCCTCTCAAACCCAAGAAGAAAATTTAATGGTTCCTGTTCCTTTTGAAAGGATTAATTTATTGTTTACTTTATTATTTTAGCCTTGGCCCTTGGCATATGAGCAGATCTTTCTTTTTTTGTTTTGTTTTGTTTATTTGTTTTTCAAGACAGGGTTTCTTTGTGTAGCAGTCCTAACTGTCCTGGAACTTGCTCTTATAGATCAGGTTGGCCTTGAACTCACAGAGATCTGCCTACCTCTGCCTCCCAAGTTAAAGATGTGTGCTACCACTGTGTGCCCCCCCCCCTCACTATGAATAGATACTTTGTTCTTAGTATGTTTGAGCCTGGCCTTTGATAAAATAAAGTGTTCTTGTAAGTTTGAAGGCAGGAATGATTTTATTATTGGACGATTAGATTAGACATATTAGATCTCTGTGACACTCTGATTTGGGCTCTGTAATTGATATATTTCTGCTGTTAGCCACATGACTTAAACATCACATACCATTAAATCCTGTTACAAGACAGGTTATTTTGGGGATTAGATTTATTTTAAGACTATTACAAATAACGTTTTATTTTTCTGTATGTATTTATGTATCCCAGGCTGGCCTCAGAATTGTTATGTAGCTGATGATGAACTTGAACTCCTGATGTCCCTGCCCTTACTCTCTCTGAGTTCTGAGATACAGAGAGACCAGCAGAGCACCATCATGTCGCTAGTGCTGAACCCAGGACCTCATGCGTGCCAGATCAGCATCCCAGCCCGTGATTAACATTTAAATTAAAAATGTAATTAATGATATATTATCAAAGTCTATGGTCTCAACACTTTTTAGGGGTTTTGAGTTAAGTTACAAATATTTGAAACTAATATATATGATTGGTTATTTATTTTTACCTTTCGCATATAGTTTTCCCAATATAGGTAAACACTTGATATTTCCCCCCATGGCTATTTGTGTCTTTTTATTCTATGTGCAATTGAGTATTATCTGCCTGAACATTACTAAGATGTTAAAAAAAAAGGATGATTAGAAAGTAAATTACCCTAAAACAATTGGGAAATCTTGTTTTCTATGACAGAATGTCCTCTGTTTAACCTGCTACCTGTTTAAGTGTCCCAGTGTTTACTTCTCTGGTTCTCATTTCCGGGGGCTTGCTTTCCCTGATCTCTCTGCTTTTGAGAACCTTCAGCTCTCTGATAAGTAATCCTTTGTTTGGGAGTATATTAAAGCCGCTTGCTGCAGCTTGTGTCTGTATATAAATGCAAGGCAAAGAAACAGTGATTGGTCGGACTGAGTCTTAATTCAATGTTCGTGTGATTAGAAAATACAGAAGAGTCTGCAAAGGGATCATTAAAATTAATGATGTCACTGGAGATGAGGCTGATGCCACTGCTGTAGAAGCAGGAGTGTGTGCAAGAGCACTGAATGAATACTCAGCATAAGGAGTGACCGGGTGCTCCCAGACTGCTCTAACGGGAACCGCAGGAACTGTGCACACAGCAACTCTAAAGCACTACTGGGAAAAATGCTGAAGATCCTTTAAAATATTGTATGGGGTGTGTTGAATGCACAGACTTCAGTGTGCCCGTGGCTGTCAGACCGCAGCCCTTTTCATTATGTTCTGGGGATCCAACTTAGGTGGCCAGGCTTGGACAAGCAAGCCCCTTTCCCCACCAGCTCATATTGCCAGCCTGAAGTTTTGATAAACATAATGTATACTTTGGAGTCCTTAGTATTGCTCAGATGTGAATTCTCCCAATTGGATCCATAGTTGCAGTGCCTTCCCATTCAGAATCCAGGTGGTTTGCTTTGGCTCGCCTTGGGGTTTAGTCCATGATTGGTTAGCTTGTGCCTTTGTTGCTGTGGCAAGACAGCAAGTGCATCATGTCTGGCTTGTGTTTTCCAGCGACAGTGCTCACTCGTGGCCTGGAAGGAACGGAGGGAAAGACTGGCATTCCACGGTTGCCCCTGAGGTGTGGCCCAAGTGGCATTAGGGTCTTGCCTAGGTCCCACCTTTTTACTGTCTTGGTAGGCTGTCACCCTGGGAAACAAGCCTTTGATTATTTAGAGTTTTTCCCCCAAATAATTTATTGTTATTTTGTGTTCATTGGTATTTTGCCTGCTAGTATGTCTGTGTGACAGTTTCAGAAGATCTGGAACTGGAGTTACAGACAGTTTTGTGTAATCAGATGGCTTTTTTGTTTCCTGGACACTCAGACCCAAATAATCACACGAAAACTATATTAATTATAGTACTGTTTGGTCAATGGCCCAGGCATATTCCCAGCTATCTCTTCTATCTTAAATTAACCCATTTTTATTAATCTGTGTCTCTCCACAAAGCTGTGGCTTACTGGTAAGGGTCTGGCATCTTCTCCCTTGCTAGCTAGATGGTATCTGCCTGACTCCACCTTCTTTCTTCCTGCATTCAGTTTAGTTTTCCCACCTACCTATATCCTGCCCTATTATAGGCCAAAACAGCTTCTTTATTAACCAATGGTAATAAAACATATTCACAGTATACAGAGGGTAATCCCACATCATCTCCTCTTTTCTTTCTAAATAAAAAAGATTTTTAACTATAACAGTAAAATTATATATAACAAAACAGTTATCAAGAAAGAATTACAGTTACAATATTTAGTCTATTTGTATTAATCAAAATTAAAGAAAATACTCTATGAGTCTAACGTTTTGTATCTAATTTATCTTTTATTTTAACTAAGGAAAACTATATCAACAATTCCATCAAAGACCCCAGAAGAATATATAATATTACCTCAGTAAGCAGGAAGTCCATTGTAAGTGACTTCAAAAACTCTAGAATTGACAGAGATGTCACTCAGAGTTCTTTTGTTATGTTGGGGCACCCATCTTCAGCCTACAGGCCCATAGTATCTGGAAGACTTCTCCATAAAGCAGGGAATTTGAAAGACTGTTTAGCTTATATTGGCAGTTTGTCAGTCACTGTCTTCTGTGTCCTGCAGAATGTCTGACAGACTCATGAAGCAGGAACCCTAAAGGACTGTCTCACCTTTTGGCAAGTTTGGCAGTCACTTTTCTGTGGGTTCTACGTGTACAGTTTATACAGTTACTGTCAAGCGGCTCAGGCAAGGCTCGCAAGCTCTCTAAGGAGCCTCTGTCCCCACCCCCCCTTGGTAGCTGCTGCTGCTAGAAGCAGACATGTCACTGTTGAGAGAAGTCTAAGCTCTTAAAACATTCTGTAGTCTTTGCAGTATGGAAATTATCTAACTGAAACATATCTCTGTATATCTAGAAAACCTAACTAACATGACTACAAGTTTGACTATTATAAATGACTAATTTGTAATTTTAAATTATGCATTACATTTTTAAATGAGCTATATAAACATAATACTTTAAATAAGAGTAGAAATATATGTGTAACAAAACTGACCTTAAATTTGTATCCATAAACCAAAGTCCATACCATTGAAAAGTATTCATTTCTATACCATATTGTTATGCTAGAGTCACAAGACCCCCAGTGAGACCACCACAGAGCCAACTTTCTGATACAATTACACAAGGTTTCTTTATTGTTTTACAGGCTTGCAAACAGGGACTGCTTTGTCCCACACACTGATGCAGTGGGTGAGGGAGAATGGCCCTGAGCTCACAGTGTAAGGGGTCTTTAAAGGGAAAAACCCCAAGCAGAGAGTTGTATGCCTTGGTGTTACCGGATTGGATAGGGGATAGTTGGCTATGAATCAAGAAAGAATTTTTGTCGCTTTCCACAAAACCACCCAGAAACTTAAAAAAAAAGTTTGTCAAGCTTATGATTGGCTGTCCTCAAGTCTCTGGGCAGCCAGGCAGTTTTTGGGTCGGTTGTGACTTTTCTCTGAATTTACAGATACTTGGGGTGGGGTGCCTGCTAAATCTCACAAAGATGGGCCTTGGGTTTAAAATGGCTTTAGTCTTGTCTCTTCAATTACCCCCCCCCCCTTTTAGAAAGATTTACTGTGACCATTAACTACTTAAAGTCAATCCCCTTTAAATGAAAACAAGTATTTATAAACAATCATTTTGGGGATTTGGCCATTGTTTTCTGCAATCTGCTTCTTGCCATTAGTTGGGCAAAGTATTTTTAAAGTTCATGGAGACCTTTTGTGGGGTCTTGTTACATCAAACCATATTAATCTGGAAGGAATCCATAGAGAACCTCTTTGCAAAATGACATCTTTATACTCAAATTCTGAAGTCAAGATACCTTTAAAATATATATGCTGGCTTAGCTTAGCAGCTCCCAGAATCAAATGTGTATTAGCAGTTGGCTCATTCAATCCTAAGAAAACACAATAATACACATAATCCAGACTCTCTGTATTTTCCATTTTTACGTGGCTTATTTGTTTTATATTATTTTTACTGTCTCTTAAAGACTTTGTTTTAGTTTTTAAAACTTTTCTTTTTATAACTGTGTATACTCATTTTCCTCTTTCTCCCAAGCCTGTGTACATTTTTTAAACTGTGTCTCGTTTGGAGGTCTTTTATGTTTGAATCTGTCCTACTGTGTATCTGAAATCCTTTTCTGACAAGGAGCCTTTTTTTTTTTTTTTAATGGTAAATGGTGTGGTCGCTGCAGCCCTGGGTGCTGGCTCCACCTCTCTCAGCCTTTCAATATGGCAGAGATATGTTTACTGCTGACTCTCAACCACCAAGCCTCCTTTCCCTGCATTTAGGGTTCTTCTGAGGCAGGTTTTGCCATGTAGTCCAGACTGGCCTAGAATTCACAGTCTTCCTATATCTGCCTCCCTTATGCTACCATTACAGGCATGTACTGCCACACTTGCTGGGCCAAGCCCTTTACTACACATACCTTTGGAGGATAGCCAATTTCCAAATTCTAACAAGAGGTAAAGCGAGAAAGTCAACAACTATTACAGAAATGCAGAGAGCCCTAAATGGCTGAAACCACTGTGAAGCGGAAGGCAAAGTTAGAGTCTGACTAGGAGCAGAGTGCCGTAATTACTGCAGTGGTGTCTGCCCAAGGTCAGACAAGCAGGCCTGTGCGGTTTAGTTTATGAAAGACACCACTGCAACTGGGTAAGGGAAAGGTTGTTCTTTCCTTTGGGTGGCACGCATTTAATGTCCCCAGAAAGAGGAGAAATGCCGACTCCTTCCCATCAAGAACAAGGATCAATCTTTAGAACTAAAATAATACAGAAAAGTAAACTAAGGCCGCCAAGATGTGTCAGTGTGGGTAAAGGTGCTTACCTAAGTTTGATCGCGGGACTCAGGTGGTGGAAGGGGAGAGCTGACTCCTGGAAGCTCCCGGGACTCAGGTGGTGGAAGGGGAGAGCTGACTCCTGGAAACTGTCCCCTGATCTAAGGTCATACCATGGCTTGTGCAAAACCCACCCCTATATTAAGTTTTTTAAAAGTAAAACAGTTGCTGAAAGAGCATGTTTTCTCTCACGTGGCAAACGCTTGGTCAACAGTGCACATCCAGTCCTAAAGAAAGATGAGTCAATGGAAGTTAGTGACCATCACTGAGACACCACCAAGGTGTCCTGCAGTGCCGGCGCTCAGAAGGTGCAGGCAGGAGTGCCGGCGCTCAGAAGGTGCAGGCAGGAGTGCCGGCGCTCAGAAGGTGCAGGCAGGAGGATCAGCAGCCTCAATAGAGAAAAGATCTACAGCTCAGGAAGTTTGCTCTACAAATACCTATATGGTAGAAATGGTCTATATAAAAATTTCCACAAATAAAGGACAATGCATTTGCAAATGTAAGCAAATGTGTACTTCACAAAACAAGCAAACATAAAACTACTCAATATAGTTATTCACCCAAGAAATGAACGCACTAACACCCCAACACCAGAATGGTTAAAACACAAAAACCTGGCAACACCAAATACCAGATGCTTACCTAGGAAGACGGCATGGATTGGTAACCATGTGTAACACCTCAACCACCATGTACCACTGCCGGTGCACCTTGATGTATTTCATGATACTCAACAAGGATCCAATCAGGAGAGTGGTGTTTGTCTCAGAACCCAGTATCCACTCGTTGGTATGTACCTCACAGATGCATACCTCAAATATCCACCCTGCATGGCCAAAGTTCCCTACACCTAAAACTGACTCTACCAACAACAGGCTGGCTTTAAAGGGTGGGGAGGAGTCCCCTAAAATACTACACAGCATGGAAAAAAGGTGGAGGGAGGTTATAATTACCCAGAAAAATGTGATGACTTCTAGCCTGTCTCAGCCACTGCTTCTCAAAGACATACACTCTGAAATCACCAACAGTGACCTAATTTAAAGAAGCCAAATTGTGCTGTACCCAAATTGTGCCTTTAAGTTGTTCTGCATTTATGCCCCCTTGTTCTGTTTACTCTGTCCACTTCTGTTTCCTGTCCCCTTTCTTACTCTGGTATGTCACCCTCCCTAGGCTGAGCCCTTGGTCCTCTTGTTCACAACCAAGGGAGTCGCACATGTCCGTGGATTTGACCTTCTCATCTTCACTATGGACTCTCTGGTCTTGACCTTCAGCCATGCTTCCCTCCTGAAAGTTCACCTGAATGTATGTCTGGCTCCCTCCTGAGTTTCCCCTCCAGAAGGTCCTCTGTTGTAGTTGCTCCTGGGTGTCAAACTGCTGATTTTTCTCAGGGTGTGATGATATGTTCTGTGTGCTCTCCCCTTTTATATTGGAACTCATTTATTAGCTCTCTCCTTTTCCCAGGTCTCCTACATTCCAGTTTGTCATAGCCAGGTGCTTTAGCTGTACCCATGGACATCCTCATTGAACACCGCAGCCACACTGGGAACTACTGTGCGCTGGACTCCTTGCCAGCGGCCACTGCACCTGTCCAAATCTATACATAATCTTCCATTTTACGCTTATAAAGATGCCTATATGTCACAGTGGTTCTTTTTTCCTGGGCTCTACCCTTAGCACATAGGCTGTGCTCATATTTTGCACTTGTAGGTAGTGTTTGTATCTTTGCCTGCAAAAAGCCAGGAGGCCACCAGACCCACTCACATAGGATATATATAATTTGTAAGGAAATTGGAGGGTTAGGAATAGTGGATACAACTAAGTCACAAAGTGTTTAATGTCAACACTGAATAAGAGGAAACATACTTGGGTGTGATACTAGCACTCGGGACACCCAGGCAGAGGGATTTCAAATTCTGGGCCAGTAGGGTCAACACAGGAAGCCTTAGCTCACAGTATCAACAAAAGCGAAGAAACGGCTTCTTGAGAGTGACAGCCCTCATCTTGAGTTGGATCTGAGCTTTCAATCTCACACGTCAATCTGTTTAGGAGGAACAGAAATGTACCATGTAACTGTGGCTTTAGCATGCTCTGCCGAGTTACATATACTGTGCTCATTTGTCTTAAGTACTTTATCCTTTCAAATCTACCATGCACAATACTTGTCCTCTGGGCCGCTCAAGGAGAAAGTCAGACAGTGCATTGGCTACAGTAATGTCTGAAAGTGACTGGCCATGAAACCTCAGCACACATGCATTAGAAGGGCACGCTCCATGAAGGCAGCTAATTTGGTCGTTTTCACGCATGTCAGAGTGGTTCAGAACACCCAATGTAAACTCTGACGCTGGTTCTTTTTGGGTGTGGTGTGTTCTTCCTCCTCTTTGCAGGACCATCATGAAGTTTCAGCCCAGGACAGAGGTCGTACTTTTGGATGCTGTAGTCAGACAAAGCATAGCATCTCTCAACAGCATGTCAGGCTTTGATGACAAGGAGGAATCTCTTCTCTATTTTGGATCTTGTCTTCACATTTTCTTCAGGGTCTGCAGGTTTAACATTGAGTGTGACCTTCTCTGAGGGTCTTTCTGAATGAAATCTGTATCTCGGCTGTGGTGTCATTGCAGATGGTCAGTTTGGAAGGGAGAACAATCGGGCCCACCGGGTTCCAGGTCAGACATCTTTAAAAATAACTCAAAGTATTTTCTTTGATAATAATGTTATTAATAGCTTTCATAAAAACAAGAGGTTCTTATGTTCAAGGCCAATCTGGACTTGTATTCTAGGCTAGAGTATTCTGTTTAGTTAGGGTTCCTAGAAAGACCTTGTCCCAGAACTAAAGGTTTGCATTTATTGAGCACAATGTACCATGCATTATGCAGAACACTGAATAGTCAACGTATTTATTACTCATAAAATGCCAGGGGTGGTGGTGGTGTGTGCTTGTAATCCCAGCATTTGAGAGACTGAGGTAGGAGAATTGCCATGAATTTGAGGCCAGCCTAGCTACATAGTGAATACCCAGCCAGACAAGGCTACCAGAACAAGATCCATCTCAATAAAAAACAACAAATAGTAATCCTAGGGGAAGTTATAATTTCTGTAGAAACCAAGATGCTATTCAATCAGCCAACTTTCCTCCAGCACAGATAACTCAGCTAAGCCACAAGCTCCTTTGAGACCCGTGGCTGCACATTAGAATCATCTGGGAGCTTTGGACACATGCCGCAGATGAGGTGCTAGCCAGGGAACCTGATTGTTCAGGCCAGAGTGCTGTGGACCGTCCATAGTTCCATTTCCCAGGTGGTGTCATCAGGCAGCCAGGATGGAGAAGCGTTCTGTTTCCCAGAAAGAACCGATGCTTAGAAGTAGCCAGGTTACTTGTACACTACACTCTCCCACCTCCACAAACGAAGACTTCCGTGGTTCAGTTGGTACCTTCATGTAGAAATGTTGAGTCAGCTCTTTGCTTGAAAAAAATCTAATTAGCTTTTCTGAGTTCCAAAAATGAACGCTAGATGGCAAACAACACATAAGAGATCATTGTGTTGTTCCAAGTGTTTGTTTCTGAAACATTTTATTTCTCATTCAAATAACGACCTCAGCAGATTTTGATGTCAGTAATGCAGTATTCAAGCCAGTGGTGCTGATCCTTCATCACTGTAAAACAAACAAGCAAATAAATAGCCAAGTAAACAAACAACACAGGATTCTTTCTGAATTGAACTGGGGGCACCCACGTATGTGATGCCCTGGATTTTAGCTGCCTTGGAATTCATTTTTTAAGGTAGCTAATTTATCATAAACATATACAAAGTGCAACACCTGTCATTTGTTGTCGTAGTTGAGAATTCTTTCCCTATTCATGTGTTTTAATTTCCTTCTTAAGTAATTGACCCACTTAGGAAAAACATTTTGACGTCTCCGTTTCCTTTCTCGGGCCGCTGGTGACAGCCTCAGCAGTATACAGCAGAGGGCGCAAATGCACCACTCTCCGCCACTTAAACCGCTCTAACTTCTGGAAGATTCAGACTCAGGCGAAACCTGTGAGGAATACAAAGAACTGCACGGACTGCATTGCATTAAAAAATAGTAACATTTTCACTGCTGTACTCTCAACATCCCGATACGCTCAGCTTCCACTCCTCCAGATGGCTGCAGCTGCCCAGCCACCCTAGCTGTGCTCAGGGCAGGCAGGACGGGCTGCGCCTGGGAGCCGCGACCTTGTCCAAGCAGGCAGTGTTCCCTTCTGTGTTTCTTTACTGTCTTCTCTTTTCAAATGTGGCGCTCTCCCATCACACATCAACTTTCTCATAAGCACGGGAGAAGTCTGGGGCTTGCAGAGGCTCAAGCTCCAATTTACAAATGGCCACATTCTCCCCAAATACTGTCTAAATTGATTAACCTGAACTGCAGAGCCGTTTAAAACGGTACCAACACCAGATAGAGAGGGTCCAGCTGGATGCTTTTAAGCTTCAGCAATATACCTTATCTTCTCTCGCATGAATATTCAGAGCAAGCTGTGTTTGGACTTGCTCTTATTTTTGCTAATTCTACCCCCCACTTTCTTTGTGAACCCACCTGAACTCTCGTTTGTCTAACTTCTGTTTTCATTGTTACCTGTGACCTCCGGGAACCCTAACTTCGGAGGGTCTGCCTTTCTTCGGTCATAACTAGTACTTGGCCAGCCGTGAGATCAGTGTTAGAGTGGTACTTAGCATTCACAAGGCCCAGCGCTCAAGCCCTGGGAGCAGGAAGAACAGTCAAACATGGCGGTTCATGTGTAATCCCAGCTGTGAGGAGGAAGAAGCAGAAGGATCAAGGGTTCAAAGTCATCATCCTTTACTGTATCCATACGCATAGGGCCACCCTGAACTAAAGCAGAGAACCCTGAGCACAGTGCTTGCTGCACTGCAATATTAATTGTCCCTGATTTGTGGGCCTCTACGCGCCCGTCACAATAACTCCTCCTTTGCGTTCTCATTGTCGAAGCACAGGACTTGGAAAACGCCAAATCGATCAGCGCTTGCTAAATGCAAGCAGAGGACTTCAGCCACTCATACTGAGATCTGAGAGCAGGAACTGCAAGTATGCCTGCAAACCATAGTTTGTCTAAAATCCCAAACTGCCCCTCTCCCAGAGACACTAAAGACCACGGCCTTTAGTACTTGATATGTGAGAAGTCAAAGCCAGCGAAATTCTATGGAACGACCCAGAACCTTGCAGATCACTTCAGACTCAAAAGTGAGAGACAGAAGAGACAGGAGATATAA